TGCTCCCGTTGGCCTTGCGGCTTTGGCCTCGCCTGAGGCAGCCGTGCTGTGCCCGATGGGAGTCAGACCACAACTTCCCCTTCTTTGGGGGTCGCGATGGCCGTGAGTGTGAGCGAGCGGGCTGGATCCACAACTGCTTCGCGGGCTTCGCGATGGCCTCCCCGCAGTTCGAGGTGGCCAGCCTGTTCCTGGACATCCGCAAGTTCTACGAGCACGTTCGCCACGACGTCCTCTGGGCTTCGGCCCGACGCTTCGGCTTCAACCTGAAGCTGCTGCGCGGCCTCCTCGCCATCTACCAGGCCCCGAGGATCGTGCTGGCAGGGGGCATGGCGTCGCCCCCCTTTGGGGCCAGTGGCGCTGTGCTGGCTGGCTGCGCGTGCGCGACGGCGGTAGCTAAGCTCCCCCTGCTTGGAGGTCTCCTCGCAGCGGGAGCTCAGCGGCCTCTAGCCACCCTGCGGAACCTGGTGGACGATGTCTCGCTCCAAGTTGTCGGCTCGGCGAGGTTGGTTGTGGACCAGCTCGCGGGGGCTAGCGGTGAAGTGCTGCGACACCTGCGGGCCCACCACCTCCCGCTCAACAAGGGCAAGTCCGTGTTCCTGGCCTCGTCGGTGCAGGTGGCGGACGGCCTTGCTGCCAGCTGGGCCGCCCTCGGCTTCGAAGTCAAGCGCGGCCTCCAGGCCCGCAACCTGGGCACCGACGCCAACGTGACCCGCAGAGGGGTCCACGAGGGAGCCGCCCGTGCGGCGGGGGGCCTCTCCCGTGCCAGGCGGCTGCGCACCCTGAGGTCGGCGGGGGCCGCGGTGGTGCACATGCGCCGCGCAGGCCCAAGCGCCGCCATGCTGTGGGGCAGGACGGTCACAGGGGTGCCCGACGGCGAGTTGCAGTCCTGGCGCCTGGCGTCAGCGCGCTCGGCTGGGAAGCTTCCCAGGGGCGCCTCCCTTGGGCTGAGGCCCAGGGCGATCGAGGTGCTGCGCTCCACCGACCTGGACCCGAGCCCAGCCCTGGTGCGAGCCGCGGTGCAGATGGCTGCCAGCCACCTGCCTGGTGGAGGCCGAGCGCAGGCACGGCAGCGCCAGGGCGCCGTGGGTGCACTGCAGGAATCCCGTCGACGCCCCCGCCCTCTTCCTGACGCGGGTTGGTTGGCGTCTCTCGACTGGGCACATCCTGCACACCGGCGACGGCCACGCCTTGGACATGCTGCTCATGGGCCCCCGTGAGCTCGGGCTGCTGGCGGCCGCAGGTGCCCGCAGGGCCTCCGACAGGGCCGAGTTGACGCGGCTTGGGCACAGAGCAGCCCCCTCCATGCCCTTGTTTTGGGACGCGCTCGGGCAGGTCATCGGCCCGCGCGGCAGGTTTAGCTGCAGGGAGAAGGCCGCAGTGGTGAGCTACCTGTCGAACGCCCACTGGCCGCAGATTCGCCTCTTTGCGTCTGGCGAGCGGGGCCACTCGCGCTGCTGCGCCTGCGGCGAGGCGCGTGGCAGCCTCTGGCACAGGCTGTTCGAGTGCCAAGCCCTGGCCGCCGAGAGGAGGGACTCGCTGTCCGCCCGCCTTCTTCGCTGCGCCACTCGGGTGCGGCAGCGCGGTGAGGAGGCAGGGGAGTGCTTCTCCAGGTGCTGGCTGCCGCAGCCCCCGCAGACGGCCTGGAGGTCGGACGCGATGGCAGTCATGTGGGTGAACAAGCCTGACGACGGGCTGCTGGGCGGTCGTCTCTACCTTGACGGCTCGGCACTGGACCCTGAGTTCGAGTGCATCCGCAGGGCTGGCTGGAGCATCGTGCAGTGCGACGAGCACGGCAACATGCAGGCGGCGGTGTACGGCACGGTCCGCCTCGACCTGTGCCCCTTCCAGACGGCGAAGGACGGCGAGGACTTCGCGGTCTGGATGCTGAGCCGCTACCCCGGGCCGTCGACCATCGAGCTCAACGTCGACTGTGCGTCCACGGTCAGCTGCTTGAAGCTCGGCAGGAAGTGCGCGACGGCGGCCAACAAGCCTAATGCGCACCTGTGGTCGGCCGTCTACGCCTCCCTCGACGTGGACTCGCTCAAGGTGAACAAGGTGGCGGCCCACTGCGCCGAGATCGACGTTCGCGAGGGCAGGACCTCGGAGGTGCATTGGCGTGGGAACGCCCACGCCGACAGGCTGGCGAAGGCGGGGGCGGCCCTCCATAGGGTCAGCGCGGCTGCCAGGCGCGAGCTCTTCGGCGCGATGGAGGTCGTGAGAGAACTCGCCAGGTGGATCGCGCAGGCCTCGATCGTCTGGCAGGGCAGGGCCTCCAAGGACTCCGAGGGCCTCCCCGAGGGCAGCGAGCGTAGGACTGCTGTCACCTTCGCGGTCCCGCTTGAGGAGCGCGCCGCGCCCGCCGCCGTGGACCCCCGCGGGGAGCACGCAGGCAGCCGCCCCGCCGACGATGGCGCCTGGGCCTCGGCGGCGCGCGACGGCGGAGTGGCACTGGGCGCCCTGGTCTTTGCCTTCGCTGGGCACACCCTGGCGCACGCCAGGTGCGGCGAGGGCGGCGCCGAGCAGGAGATCATCGCGTGCACCAAGTGCGGGGCGTATGCTAGGCTTGGCGGGCGCTCTGGCACGCAGCCCAAGCTGAAGGAGCGGTGTCCTGGTGCTACGGGCCTCCCCAAGTCGCTGCGGGACCAGAAGTCGCGGTGGGAGCGTGGCCTCCACCCTGGGGCCACGCCGCACATCCGCAACACGCGGACGAAGGGGGCGGAGGCCCCCCGCCTTCGCAAGGAGGCCGAGGTGCCGCAGGACGCCAGGGTGCGCTTCCTGAAGTGGCTCGGGGTCCAGCCTGATGCCCCAGCAGGCGAAGAGCGCTCCGCCTCGGTGGCTGGCGCTGTTGGGGGCGGCACTGGCGGCGCGGCCTCTTCCTCGACGGAGGCGCCCGTGGCGGCTGGAGGTGCCGCGGCGGGCGCGGGCTCGCGGCAGGCCTGGCTGGGGGCCTATGGCCTCGATGAGGAGAGCCTTCAGAGCTGGGTTGCTGCGGCCGAGGAGGCCCGAGCCGAGCGGCAGAGCAGGAAGCGGCGCAGAGATGGTGGAGATGGAGGTGATTGAGTCCTGGCTGGCCCCAGCCCTGTGGAGCGCCAGCCTGCCTCTCCTCCTGTCCTCCCTCTGCGTGTTGGACCCCTGGTGGCCGCGGGCCTCGGCTCGAAAGCGTGAAGATTATTGCGCCTCGCCTGCCTCGCCGTGCCGCTTGGGGCCGTGCAAGCATGTTTGGGGCGTCGCCCATCGAATGTTTGCATGTTTGTATAGATTCCAGCGCTTCGCGCTGATGCCCCTTGACGGGGGTCCAGAGCTGACGGGCCGAGTAGTGCCTCGGGGCCGATGCGCCCTGGAGGCAGCCTCCTGCGGCTCGTCTGGGCTCTAGGGGTCCCTTGCGGCCCTCCCCCTGTCTTGGGACGGCCCCTTTTGGGCATGGGCCTCTCAGCGGGGCCTGGGCCCTCAGTGGGCTCCCTTTTAGCCTTTTTTATAGGCCCCGCGTTACACGCTACAGCAGACCAGCACGGCAGACCAGCACCGCAGACCACAGAAGCACGGCAGACCAGCACGACAAAACACAGGACGACGGCAGACCCGCACAACATACTACAGCATTGCCGCAGACACGACGTGCGGACGCACAAGCACATACTCCACGCATGCACGTGTACGCACAATCGCACGCAGGCTACGGCACACCTGCTTGAGGTTTCGTTCTTGTCCGATCAGCGCCGTGAACATACATGTTTTGCAAGAGACATGTTTGAATTAGCCTGGAGAAGGCCCCAACCATATGCAGCTATGAGTGCCGCAGTTGTGAGTATCGTCTTCGGTTGAGTTCCCTATGGGGCCATGAAGCGTGTGACGGGTGTGCCGAAATGGGGTTGGACCCGCGTGCGAACCTTGCCACTGGTGCCTTCTGTGGAGCTCCCCCTGTGGCCGTGTGGATGAATGCGCATGCGAATCTTGCCACTGGGGCCTTCGGCGAAGCTCCCTATGGGACCACGAAGCGTGTGAGGAGCATGCCGGAATTGGGGTGGAACCGCATGCGACCCCTGCCACTGGGGCTATCGGTGGAACTCCCGATCGGGCCACGAAACGTGTAAGGGTTGCAAGGGATGGGAGGAGGGATGAGGGGGAGGAGGAGACTGGGTGACGCGGGGCGCTGTTTCTTCAAGACGAGGACCCAACAGCAAGTTGGTTGGCGAAAAAACGGCCTCGCAAGGGGAGTCCGGACCAGCATCATCTTGGAGTCTATCCGAGATGGCTTCGAAACCACCCGCAAGAGTTCCCAAAAGGCTCGCCAGAGGACAGAGGCTCTCAAGTGCGCCCAGGAGACCCCAAGGCGGCCCAAGAGAGCTCCACAGCAGCCCAAGATGGCGCTGAGACGGCCTGAGAGAGCCCCCGCAGAGCCCCAAGACATGCCAAGACAGCACAAGAAGACCCCTGTAGCCCCGAAGAGAGCCCCGAAAGGCCCTCAAGAGGCCCCCAGGATGCCCCAAGATTGCCCCAGACGGCCCCAACAGTGCCCAGGGTAGCCTCTAAAGATCACGAGGGCCCCTCCCCGTTCTTAGACGTCCGTTTCCTCGGGCTCCTGACCGTCCACCGTCGTCGTTTTCCGCCTTCTCCTCATCCTCCGCTTCATTGCTCCTCGTGCTCGTCCTCCTCCATCTAGTCCTATTCGTCCTTGAGCTTGTCGTCCTATTCGTTGTCCTCCTGCACCACACGCTGCCCTCCCCGTCATCCACGCTGTCATCCTCGTCATCCGCCGCCTTCTGGACGTCATCGTCCTTCTCTTCCTTTCCACCGGTGAGCCCACTGGGCACAATCCGCGCTTACCATTCCTGCCCGATCAGGTTTTACGGGGTCCACAGAAGATCCGACGATTTCCCAAGTTTGATGGTTCCAGGGCTTGGAAACAGCTACACACATAGTATCCACTCTGACCCGTCAAGACGTTGAATGTTTGGGTCTTTCTCCTCCTACTCCTCCTCCTCTTCCCAATCACGGCCAAGGTGCGCAGATATCTTTTGGTACCGACTATTGGGTCTGGTCCACGGCCACAATCACGTCCAATCGCATCCTGTACGCGATGAAGCGCGCTGGGGCACGGCCCTTGGTGGACGGCGATGGAGCGGGAGTAGGCGGAGGGACGAGCAGGAGCCGGAGGAGCAGTAGGAGGAGGAGGAGGAGGATGAAAAGGAGGAGGAGGAAGTTTTAGCAAGGGGGGCGGAGACGGGGGGAAGGCGGGGGGATAGGGAATGCTGAGGAGACGGAGAGGGATGAGGCGGAGGAGTGGTAGGAGAGGGAAGAGGGAGAACAGATGAATGGAGGCGGAGGAGGATGAGGGGTATGCGCGCAATGAGGATGGGGGGGGGCGGCGAGAGGGAAGAAGGGGAGGGGTACGGGGAGGATTTGGGGGTGGCAAGAGAACTTATCTTTAGGCCTCTTAGCAGCCCACGTGGCTGCAGCCACTGGCTCGATCAGAGCTTGGCGTTGGCCCGCCCGCGCGCCGAGTGGGCTGCGCAGTGCCGCTGGCCGATGTCGGGCGCTGTGGCCCCGTGGCTCCGCCTCCTCCTCCTCCTCCTCCTCCTCCTCCTCCCTCCCCTCCTCCTCCTCCTTCTCCTCCTCCTCCTCCTCCCCCTCCTCCTCATCCTCCTCCTCCTCATCCTCCTCCTCCTTCCCCTCTCCTCCTCTCCTCCTCCTCCTCCTCCTCCTCCCTCCTCCTCCTCCTCCTCCTCCTCCTCTCCTCCTCCTCCTCCTCCTCCTCCTCTTTCTCCTCCTCCTCCTCCTCCTGCTCCTCCTCGTCCTTCTCCTGCTCCTCCTCATCCTCCTCCTGCCCCTCCTCCTCCTACTCCTCCTCCTCCTGAGCGGCCTCCCCAGCTTGCTCGTCGGCATGCGCGTCCCCTGCAGCAGAGCGCCGTTGCCCAAGGGATAGGGTCGGACGCATCGACGCTGGAAGAGGTGCAGGCGGCGGTGGCCAGCCTCCCCTCGATCCTGGAGGCGGCTCGAGGACGAAACCATACGCGGGAGCCGCCGTCTGGGCAGCAGGACCGCCGATACCCTCACCACCCTTCGTGCAGGGCCTGGCCATCTGTCGCGGAAGTGATGTCGCCCAGGGAAAAAGCGGGAGGGCGGCGTGCTCGAGCGTTTGTGAGAGGATTGTCTGGCGAGGACCCGCCGAAGTGGCCGTGACCTCGCAGCCCTGCGCATACTCACGGCCCGTTCGCCCCCCCGAGCCATTTTGTTGACGGGGGGCCCAGCGAAGGCCCCCGAAAGGCCGAAAGGTGTCAAAGAGTCTCCGTTGACATGCATCACGGCGGGAACAAAGCCTTGGTCGGGCGGGGCCAGGGCAGGGATCAGTCGTTCCAGAGCGTTCTGGATCGCTCTGGGAGCGTTCCAGAATGCCCTCAGCATACCGCGGCGCCCGATAGTTCCTCCAGAACCGCTGGGTCCTCAGAGATCCCCGATGTAACTCTGGATGATCTTATCCTTGTCCTGGTTTTGTCTTACTGTGGATCCTTGAGTCCGGATCCCCTCTGCGCCCCCCTTTCTGAAGAAAATCATGAGAGCCTTGTATGTCCTCACCGTTCCGTCTTGAGCCCATTAGCGTGGCGTGCGACAGCGCCTTGTGATTGATGGACGAGCGAGCGCCGCTCAAGTACCAGTTGGTCTCGACTCAGTGTCGACTAGTGCTAGCGTCGGTTCGCAAGAGCCAGATCGACTGCATGGGAGGCTCCCCTCCGTTGCCACCGAAGCATCCTTGAGCCCAGATCCCCGCCGCCCTGGGAGGAGCGGGTCGAGCCTCTGAGGTCCCCGCCTGGAAATCGTCGCGGCATCGGGTCAGTGCCGCCCCATCACACTGATACTGTTGTGTTCGTCGCTCCCCCAGGACCCAGACCCCCTCGCGTCATGAAAAATAGCGACGCGATGTTTCTCGCTGCTTCCGGCCTCTGGGGGCCCTGACGGGGCCTCGGGACCGACAAAAGCCATTTCCCCAAGACGGTTATCCTGAGTCGTGTTTTGACGGTCCCGAGGCCCGGCGAGGGCTCCCAGACGCTGAAAATTGCGAGAAAAAAAATCGTCCTGATTATTGTGCGACGCGATCATGTCTCGGAAGACTAGAGGAGTCAGACCACGGCGTTCAGAACTCGTCCTTGAGGGCTTTGGCCGCGAAGGCCTTCACGATGGTCTTGGCCGGCTTCGCTTTCACCATGTTCTTGAGGAGGAGGAGGAGGAGGAAAAGAAGGAGGACGAGGAGGAGGAGGAGGAGGAGGCGTTGGAGGAGGCGGGGGAGGAGGAGGAAAGAGGAGGAGGTAGAGGAGGAGGAGGAGGAGGGAGGAGGAGAGGAGGAGGAGGAGGAGGAGGAGGAGGAGGAGGGGAGGAGGCGGGTGAGGAGGAGGAAGAGGAAGAGGAGGAGAAGGAGCAGGGGGAGGAGGAGGAGGAGGAGAAGGAAGAGGAGGAGGAGGAGGAGGAGGAGAAGGAGCAGGGGGAAGGAGGAGGAGGAGGTGGAGGAGGAGGAGGAGGAGGAGGAGGAGGTGAAGGAGGAAGAAGACCACCTTGAAAAACCGGCCTTTGTGGGCTCCCTGTGACCCCCGCGGGCCCGGCCGAGGTGCGGGAGCTGCGGGCGCAGTGCGTCCCGGCGCCGCCCCTGCCCGAGCCCGACGAGGACACGGCCGCGCTGGCGAGGCGTCGCCTTTTTGCCGCCCCAAAGGGGGACCGCGCATGGAAAAAATCACGACATCGGATTTCTGGGATCGCGTCGTGTCAAAATCAGGACGGGATGTTTTTGGGTCGTTCTCGGCCCCTGGGGGCCTTCGCCGGGCCGCGGGACCGTCAACAAGAACCGTCTCAGGAGGAAAAACCGGTTCCGGGGAGGGTCGGGACTTCCAGGGCGTAGCATGTCCGGGGCCGTCGCTTCTCTCGAGAGGCAGCGCTGGTCGGAGGAGGACAATGTCGATGGCTCAAAGATCGGGTCGCTGAGAGAGGTCTTCTGTTTGGGCCCCCCCCCCTTTTCTCGCGGCGGTGAGCAGGGCTCGTGCGACAACTGGCCCCTGCTCTTCCTCCTGCTCTTCCTCCTGCTCCTCCTCCTCCTCCTCCTCCTCCTCCTCCTCCTCTTTCTCCTCCTCCTCCTCCTCCTCCTCCTCTCCCCTTCCTCCTCTCCTATTCCTCCTTCTCCTCCTCCTCTTCCTCTTCCTCTTGTTCTTCCTCCTTCTGCCCCCTCTCCCCCTGCTCCTTCTCCTCCTTCTCCTCCGTCTCCTCCTTCGTCGTAGTCGTAGCTGTCGTCGTCGTTGTTGCGCGGCGCATACCGCAGACCAAACTACTTAGCCCCCCTCCGATTAAGGCTGCCGAAAAGTAATGTGTCATCCCTATTGGGGGGGCTAGAGATTTTTCAGGATTGCTGAGGGATGGTGTTTTCGGGGCGAGGTTCGCCAAACAAAGTAAATTAATCCACCCGTGGATCCCTTCCTATCCTTAGGCCCCCGTCCCGCAGGACCCCATCTTTGAACCGCCGAACCGTCGGCGCCACGCAACAATTCTAATACTATGGGTGCGTCGCCCCCCTCATACTAGTATATCCTCGCGCGCCTCAGAACAAGGTACGAGTACCGATGCCGCTACCCTCGCCTCGTTCTCGCCTTTGTGGGCCTGCTGGGGAGCCCTCGTCGTCACCGCTGGATTCGCCTCGAAGGTCTTGTCAGATCGAACCCCAGGAGAGGTCCTGGGTAGCGGTGGTGGTACCTGTTGGTTTCCCCAGTTAACAGTCAAAAGGAGGGGCATGCGGTCGGGAATTGTTGCTTCGCGGCGGCGGCCCCGACGGCACGGTGTGCCACGCAAGGATCGTATGTCGCTCCGATCCGCGGGGCGGGAGGCTCGGGATGGCTTAGAAAGTTGACCCCGACAGACCTGGAAGTGGATGGCGTGGTTCTCTCGGGGCGTGGTCCCTCGGTTACGGCGTCAGTCTAGGCGTAAGCTGGGCATGTCCCTCTACAGGAGGTGTATTCAATAACAGCAGAAAATAGTCTGGTGTCGATTTCTCATGCTTCTTTGAATAGTGTTGAGTGTTTTGTTGTATACTGTTGTCCAACAACCGCCTGTAGGAGGACATGACCGACCTGAGTCTAAGCCTCCCAGATGGAGTCCGGGTAGATGGGGTCGGAGGATCTCGCCGCATCGCCGATGCATCGGCCATGCGGCTCGATGTGGAGCCCGATTTCTTCCTCACCGGTGCGTCGCCGATTTCGCCGATGCATCGCTGATGCGTCGGTGATGCATCGGCGATGCGGCGCGATCCTTCGACCCTCAGGGGCAACGTTTTGGTCCGGATTTGTTGTCTTAGCTCGTCGCTCCGCTGGTTCTGGCCTGCCACGCCTGGCGCGACCCGCTATCCACTTTCCGGACCCCAGCGTCCACGTCCCGAGCGGAGCGACACACTGTCGGCGGCTTGCAGGGCACAGCGTGTCGCTGGGGCCGCCGCCGCGACACGCTTTGCAAAAGTTCACGACCGGGGAGGATTGCCTGCCAGGGGGAACGCATCGGCCTCGAGTCTTGAGTCGGGCATGTCCCTCTACAGGAGACCTGTTCAGGAATAGTCAAAACGTAGTCTGGGGACGAGTTCTTGACCATGTTTAAAAAATATGTTTGGGCATTTTCTGAATTACACCAGTGAAAAACTCCAATCCACGGATGGTTTGAAATGGGATCTAATGAGATCGACCAGGACCCCGGGACCCCGGGAACCCGGAACCATTAACCAGGAACCTGGAAACCCAGAATCGGGAACTTGGGAACCGAGCCAGCCACCAGAATCGTTATGTTTTTGTTAAGAAATAAATATTTTTCAGGTATTATATATATATATATGTATAAACAAATCTTTCACTCACCGCTGGGACCCCTTCAGTGCAGGCACTGATTGGGGGAACATCCGCCTGTAGGGGGGGACGTGCACGACCCGACCCTGGCCGGCCCTGGCCGCGCAGGGACCCCGCAGCGAGGGGACGCGAGAGAGAGCCCACCCTGCCAAGGTCGGCGTGCGGCTCCGCTGCTTGGCCGATACCTCGCCGGTCCGTGGTGGAGGGTCCCTCCGAAAGGCTTATAGGCGACCCGTCCTCCTTCTCCTCCTCCTCCTCCTCCTCCTCCTCCTCCTTCTTCTCCTCCTCCTCCTCCTCCTCCTCCTCCTCCTCCTCCTCCTCCTCCTCCTCCCCCCTCCTCCTCCTCCTCCTCCTCCTCCTCCTCCTCCTCCTCCTCCTCCTCCTCCCTCCTCCTCCTCCCCCTCCCTCTCCTCCTCCTCCTCCTCCTCCTCCTCCTTCTTCGCCTCCTCCTCCTCCTCCTCGTCCCTCCTCCTCCTCTTTCTTCTCCTCCTCCTCCTCCTCCTCCTCCTCCTCCTCCTCCTCCTCCTCCACCCCCTCCCCCTTCTCCCCCTCCTCCACCTCCTCCTCCTCCTCCTCCCCCTCCTCCTCCTCCTCCTCCTCCTCCTCCTCCTCCTCCTCCTCCTTCTCGGTTCGCCTTTGGCCCCGGGGGAAACCGTGCAGGTCCATGGACGATGCGTATCGCCGAAATTCTGGCTCGATGTTCCCCCCCCTTGGGCTTCCAGGCAGAATCGCGTCGTAGCAAAAATCAGGACGGGGGGGGGTTGCCGTTTCGGCCCTGGGGGGCCCTCGCCGGGCCTCGGGGCTGTAGAACCGGTCCTGGGGAGAGGGTCGGAGCTTCCAGGGGCCCCGCATTGAAAAAACAGTACGTCCCCCCTTGGGCTAGTCTCCGCTTATCTCGGCGGCGAACCCAGGGGGGAAGTGAGAAGGAGAAGGCCTGCTCAGAAGGCTCGGAAGTCCCCTGGCCTTCTCAACAGTTTTCTAAGCCTTCCTCGCAGACAGAACCCTTCTCAGAAGGCTCTTGGGCTCCTGAGGAGTCCCGCCACCGTCTGAGAAGGCCTTCTCCTTCTCACTTCCCCCCCTCGCTCGCCGCAGGTTCTCGTTGCCCCTCGGCCCCAGCCCTGCGAATGCTCGAACTCTTCAATCGCGCGGCGTGTTTCCTTCGGTTTGTTCGGCTTCGCGGGGCCGCTCTCTCTCTCTCTCTCTCTCTCTCTCTCTCGGGGCCCCGCGCGAGAACGGCTCTTGGACGAGGAGATGCCCCCCCCCATGAAGAAGAGGCCGAGTCCTTAGGGCCCGCAGATTACAAAACGCCGCATCGCCGCATGTCTGGGGTCGTCGTCGTCCTCGTCGCCGTCGCCGTCGCCGTCACCGTCACCGTTGCCTTTGTTGTTGCCATCGCCGTTGTTGTCGAAGGAGAGGAGAGGAGGAGGAAGGAGGCGGAAGGATGTGGAGGGGGGGGGGAGGGGGAAGGAGGGGCAAGGAGGTGGAGGGAAGGGGTGGAAAGGGGAGGGGAAGGCGGGGGAGGGGGCAGAAGGCAGGGGGAGGGGGAAGTGTGTGCTCGTGGGGTGGGTGGGGGGAGGACGGGCGCGGCATGTCGGGCGCCTCCCCGCTCCCCGCCCGCGTCCGCCCCCCTCCCCGCCCCACTGCTTCTCCTCGCCCCCCGCCCCAAGCCCGATGTTGTTCCTCCCCTCGGGTGCGCGTCTGCCACGCCTCTACCTGCCCTTCGTCTTCCTCCTCCTCCTCGCTTCTCCTCCTCCTCGCTTCTCCTCCTCCTCCCTCCTCCTCCTCCTCCTCCTCCTCGTTCCTCCTCCTCCTCCTCTCCTCCTCCTCCTCCTCCTCCTCCTCTCCTCCTCCTCGCTCCTCCTCGCTCCTCCTCCTCCTCTTGTCCTCCTCCTCGCTCCTCCTCCTCCTCCTCCTCCTCCTCCTCCCTCCTCCTCCTCCTCCTCGCCCTCCTCCTCTTCCCCCTCCCCCTCCTCCTCCTCCTTCTGTTCCTCCTCCTCACTCCTCCTCGATCTTCCTCGCTCCTCCTTCTGCTCGCTTCTCTTTTTTTTTTTTGCCATCAACCGCGATGCCTCCGAAGAAAGCTGCACCCCAAGTGCAGCGAATACAAGAGAATGCGAGACACCACTCACTTGCACCACGAAAAGAAAAAGCCGCGCCACGGTCGGGGCCGTGCCCCCGTGGCGCGACCTAAGCGCGACCAGGGAGCGCTGGGAGACCGTGCTCCGCGCTCCCTGGTCGGGGTAGGGGGCGCGAGCCGTGCTCAGCGCCAACCCTACCCACCACCCACTCCATGGGTGGCCGCGTTTTACGGGCCCCGGGACCACGACACGACGCGACACGACAGGGGGACGAAACGAACGACGCGACACGAACGACACGAGACGGACGAGCGACACGACGGAGACGAGCCGCCAGCCCCGCCCCAGGGCGGCGAGCGCTGGGGGGGACCCAGCACCGCCCTGGGGAAGCACCCGGGGCCTGGCGACCCCCCCGGGGGAAGGAAACCGCACTTTGGCGGCGTCCCCCGGGGAGCGGGGGATTTTCGCCCCTCGGGCCCGGCGCTCCCCGCCTGCGCCAGGGGGACCCTGGGGTCCCGACCCCTCCCCTACGGGAGGGGCCCCCTCGGGGCTTCTGCTCGCTTCTCCTCCTCCTCCTTCTCCTCCTCCTCCTCCTTCTTCTCCTCCTTCCCCCCTCTCCTCCTCCACCATCCTCCTCCTCCTGCCCCTCCTCCTCCTCCTCCTCCTCCTCCTCCTCCTCCTCCTCTTGACCCTTAGAGCGACCGCGACCTCTTACCGTTTGTCCTCTTCCCCGCGCGGAGGACGTCGACCTGACCTACGGCGCCAGCATCCAGGGCATCCAGCTCGTGCCGTGACCTGTTCCCGTGGGACACACCCGCCGCGGGCTCTCTCGCGGTCCACGGCTACGGGAGGGGATGACGAGGCGGAGGAGGAGGAGGAGGAGGGCGAAGTGGAGGAGGAGGAGGACGAGGAGGAGGAGGAGGAAAAGAAGGAGCGAGGAGGAGCGAGGAGGAGCGAGGAGGAGCGAGGAGGAGGAGGAGGAGGAGGAGGAGGAGGAGCAGAAGGGATCGGTGAGGAGAAGGGTGGGGGGATGCAGGGAAGGAGTGTGAGGTCCGCGTCGCCTCGTCTCCTCCTCGCCCCTGCCCGCGTTGGATCATGTCTTTTCTGATGGTGCTACTTCCCAATCGGTGCTTGCACTGAAGGGGTCCTAGCGGAGATTGGACGAGCAGGCGAAGGCACGGCGCCGATTCTGGCAGGCGGCAGGGTTCCCGGGCTCCGGGTTCTGAAGTCCCGGGTTCCCGGTTCAGGGATCCAGGCCGATTTCGGTGGGCGGCCAGGTTCCAGTGTTCTTTGTTCTGGGTTACGTCGGAGTCCCGGCGTTGTAAGGCTCTTGGGGCTTCGAGTTCTTGGCTGCGGCCCAGAATCCAGTTACTTGTGACCTCGGCCATCATATTTAAGTAGATGCTGCGTGGGGATAGTGTATACTACGAAGTTGAGGGCATAGATGAAACATGACACATTTGAGCATATGAGGTATACATGCCTGTGCGTACATGTCTACATGCATGTCTGTATATGCCGATATCTGGTTGTATGTATGCGGGTTGATATTGTGTAACCGGTATCCCTGCAGTATTAGCGGATCTCTCTCTCTATATATATATATACATACACCACTGTAATACAAGTAGAGGGGGACAGGGAAAGAGAGAGAGAGAGAGAGACACCCCGAGTCGACAGAGAGAGAGAGAGTCATAAACATACAAGCTGCCGAAGGCGTGTGTACACGTATCTCTATATACACACGTTTTACAATAATGTGCGCGCACGCATGTTTAGAGAGAGAGGGGGGAGAAAGAGAGAGGGAGAGAGAGACAGATAGAGTGAGTGTGAGAGAGAGAGAGTGAGAGAGACAGAGAGAGAGAGAGAGACAGAGACAGGGATATATCTAGACATAGAACGAAAGAGAACAAAGAGGCATGGGAAATGTGAAACAGAGAGTGAGCGCAGAGAGCAGTTCACCATGCAGTGATGCGCTGAAAAAGGTGTCTTATATGAGACTCGAAAAGTGGCGGGGCTGAGTTCGGTCGGTTCCAGGCCAATTCCGGTGTGCGGGCAGTCTTCGAGGTTCGCGATCCCAGGTCCAGGGTTCATAGTATGGTGGGTTTTGAGGATCTCGAGCTTTCGCTCGGCGTGCGCGACCAGGGACAGAAGTAGCACACACTTATACATATATGTCTACGAAGGTATACAGGTATATAGATATAGTGTAGAGAGCGTGGAAAGTCACACGAGAGAGCAGAACACGTTTGTGAAGCAGAGAGGGTACACAACAGAGGTTCGAGAATTGAGGGAGTATCGGTTTTTTGGAGGGAGCGCAGAGTGTGCATGGTATTATCACATTACAGAGAGAGAGAGAGAGCGAGAGAGAGAGACAGAGAGAAAAGGAGAGACGGAATGGATACCGATCGCAGTAGTATCATACATACATATGTATATAACGATAGAGGAAGCACTGGTGACCTTTTTGTTCATATAATTTTCAACAGTAGATGGGTGGATCAGTCTTGTAAAGTAGTACATTCCGAGAGCAGACAGCAGATAGCAGAGAGCATGGGACGAAGTTAGGTCTATGTTTCTAGATGCTAGCCAGCGTGGGCCGCAAACAGTGTGTTCCTGGTAAACTGGTGCGCAATCTATGTGGCGCAACCTATGTTGTGGAAAACGGGTGGTGCAATGTATGTCGTGCAATTTAGGTTGTGTAATCTACTTTGTGCAATTTAGATTGTGCAACCTAGATGGAGCAACCCATATGGTGCAAAGCAGGTGGTGCTATCTATGTGATGCAGTCGATGTGGTGCAATCTTTGTGGAGCAGTCTATGTGGGACGCAGTTTATGCGGTGCGATCGACGTGGCTGAGTCTCAGTGGCGCAATCCAGGTGGTCCAACAGCTGTTGCAGGCCTGGACGTCGGGCTGCGACGAGGCGGAGACGGAGCGGTGACGGAGGCAACACGGCCGTCAGAGCGGCGCGCCGGCCAAGACGACGGGCGGCGACGAGGCGTTGACGGGGCGGCGACGTGGGTTGCATTGTTGCCAGACCGATACACAGGCTGCCCAGACGACGGGCGGCGAGGAGGCGGCGACGGGGCAGCGACGGCGGCGGCTACATAGCCGCCAGACCGACACACCAGCCTATTTCTTTAGAAGAGAAGTAAGGACCCCGGAGTGCTATCACTATACATACATACACACATACGTATATGTCTACACATGTTATTACATATCGAAATGCCGTCGGCCCATGCCGCCACCATGCCTGGGTTGTGGGTCACAGGCCTCGAGCCTCCTTGGGTCCTCCTGGGGACCTCATGGGACAGAAGACTCGGAGTTTCGGTTCGTGTTCTCCCTCTTGGACCCTTCTCAGGGCTGTCTTTGTGCCCTCTTGGGCTGTGTTGGGCGCCTCTGGGGCCGTCTTGGGGCCCTGTTGGCCCGTGTTGTGGACCTCCTGTGGGTCTCTTGGGCCGTCTCAGGGCGGTCCTTGGAACCTCTTGGGCCGTCTTGTAGCGTTGGGAGCTCGAAAAGTCGAGAACCCCGAAATCATTGAAAAACCAATTGATTTTGGCCTCTCATAGCCTTCTTGGGAAGGCTCTTGGGGCTTTCTTTGGGCGTCTCAGAGGCCTCTTGGGCCGTCTTGGGGCCATCTTGGGCGTCTTGGGGCAATCTTGGGGCGTCTGGTGGCCCTCTTGGCCGGTTTTGGAGCCTCTCGGGCCCTCTTGGGCCAGAAAAAAGCACTTTGAGAAGATGCGCTGGAGCTCAGGGGGACAGCGCCAAGCCCCTAGAGATTTGAGAATGTGTGGTCAGGGCCCCTGAAGATCCTGGAGGATCGAAGACTGAGACTCAGGGGATTCGGCAACGGACCTGGGGACACGCCCACTCCGTGCCCAGCGGCACGGTGGCGCATACATCTATATCTATATATATATATACATATATGTGTGTGCCGATTCACATATTCATGTGCGTATACACGTACAAAGAGATGGGCAACCACTGACCATATGTATACATATATACATGCCATTTGTGTTTTAGTATGTATATGTGCAAGTTCGAAGTGGAGAGCCAGGCTGAGACACTTGAGTGAAGAGCGATGTGTGTGGGTATATGAATGAAACAGAACATGGTATACCTATATGTAGACATTTCCCCGACAGTGTCTGCACTGAGGGCTTCTCATTCTAATGAACTGGACTTGTGCGTCGGTCAGGCGGCTATCTTGTCGCCGTCGCCGCCCCGTCGCCGCCTCGTAGCTGCCCATCGTCTGGGCCTCTGCGTCGGTCTGGCCGCTATGTTGTCGCCGTAGCCGCACCGTCGCCGTCTCGTCGCCTCCCATCGTCTGGGCCTGTGAGTCGGTCTGGCGGCTATGTTGTCGCCGTCGCCGCACCGTCACCGCCGTCGCCGCCCGTCGCCGCCGCATTGCGTTGCTTAGTACGAACGTGGATTGCATTGTCGCCGCCGTCGCACCACACACATCGTTTTGCCTGGCTCATCATTGCTCTGGTTGCACGACATCGGTTGCACCACATACCTCTATGCATAGATGGTTCAGCATATAATGCGCCACATAGAGTGATCCATATAGAATGCGTCACATCATTTGCACCACATAGGTTGCACGCCATCGATGGCGCACCATCGGCTCCACAACAGCTTTATCCACTTTGATGCGCACCATATATTCCCCCACATGGGTTGCATCATGTACACATTGTAGCCAGAGACACACTGTCTGGGGCTCACGATACAGAGCAGTTTTGAACACACACATATGTAGGAGCAGGAGGTCTACAACAGAGGGAAAGAGAGTGGGTGGGTAAGGGAAGTAAGGGGGGAGAGAGCGATGAAGAGAGAGAGAGATAGCGAGACAGAGAGAGAGAGAGAGAGCGAGACAAAGAGAGAGCGAGAGAGAGAGAGCGAGGCAGAGAGAGAGAGAGAGAGAGCGAAAGAGGGGGAGAGAGGGCAGGGGTGGTGTGCATGCGAAAGTACTGGGGAAATCCATTGATTTGGTTTTCTCTTTTTTGAGCAGTGCTTCTCTCGCCTTCCTCCGTCCTCTTGCCTCATCATCGCCCCATGCTGGGTGTGCTCCTGCATTTCGATCGCTGGCCTGTGTTCCGAGTAGGTTGTCGTCAGTTCAGCAGTTTGCATACTTCGGTGGCAGCTGGTGGCATTCCCCGCCAGGGAGATGCCCTCCATGCGACATGCGTCGAATGGTTCGGCCCTGCGTGTTTGTTGTTTCTGGTGTTACTTGTTGTTCGGTAGCGGTTTCATGAATCATACGTGCGCCACACATTCACCTACACGCACGCACTCTCGCGCGCTGTCGCGGAGTAGTTCCGCATGGCTATCGGATGATTGATTGCGCGGTCCTGATCGTCAATGGGGTCTGCATATGCGATGCCGTGTTCACCCGCTGAGCGTCGTGCCAGCGCCGTCTAGCGCATCGTGCTTCTTGCGGTCGCAAAATCTGTTTTAACCCAACTGCTGCTTCGATACCTGCCGTCGTCCAGACGGCTCCAATGACGCAGCCATTGGCTCCGCCGCCGATTCCCAGGGACATTTGTCTACAGTTCTGCGCCCCATTTCAGCTCCTCCACATATCTCCTGCTCCCACTCACGCTGTTCCTCCTGCTGCTCCTGGTTCTGCTGCTCATATTTCCTCGCACTCTTTTCATATCATATTTCACTCGCGTCGCTCCGCAATATGTATACGTGCTGTTCAGTTCTTTTCTTGCCCATCCTCTTCGTCCTCGTCCTCATCCAGTTGCTCCTCCTCGCCCACATGCCGTCCACAC